TGATGTAGATATTATTTTCCATTTCGAACGTTTCCTGTATCAAAAATGAGTCTCAATATGAGACTGAAAATCTGAAGCATAACTTTTTCGGTTGGAAATTGNATCTATCTTATGTGCGGACGTCTCTTCGTTAACCTTTCTAAATGACCCATGTAACAAGTTTTGGGCCGATGACTTCCAAACTAAATGACTTTAGGCATCCAGTTTTAAACCCTTATAGGCTTACTCACTCGAATCATAAAGGCTACGAAGGAACGTTTCACAATGAGATTGTTAAAGTTGTCCTCATAAGGATCTTTTAAGGTAGCTTCATAGCAGTTTTTTTTTTCCTTCTTTTATGTAGTGATTAGTGCAATACCCCTTATAAAACACTCATTCTCGAGAATTTACCCCTAACTTAAGGTTTTCACCCAATTTTCATTATATTGGCCTCAGACAGTCCATACAAACTTTAGCATATATGGAATCCACATTTATCTCCAAGTTTCCTTACAACAGCTCAACCATCCAAACATTCTAGATTTAGTTGAAGGATTTAATAATGTTTAGTGATTGTTTGGATTTAATATCTAAGTTCTCTATTTCAACATATTCATGTACAATGCTACAATCAATTCGTATGCATAGATATCTCACGTTCCGCATTAATAAGCAAAAAAAATTAATTAAAACACATAACATATCCATGATCCAAAAACAAACACATGTCCTCAATAATATACATCATTGCCGACAATGTTATTTTTTTATTTTTTAAAACATGCACATGAATCACACAAAATAATAAAAAATAAATACTTGGCAATTAGATAATTTAAAATATACCCCCAAATTTAAATTGAACATTGTCTCCAGTGTAAAATTAAAGAAAAGTGAGGATGACTTCCCTGAATTATCTACATTGCTTATGACGTTTTGGTGCTTATGATACTGGATTTGATGGATGTTTTTCATACTTCTTCCTGAAACTTGAAATTTATCCCCTTTTTTCCTTGTCAATGTTGGTTTGAGTGTTTCGCAATATCATATTCCTGAAAAATCAAATTTTAGATATTAAATAAATGGAACAAGGGTTGCATAGCTCAAATATCTAATGACCAACGTAATTACTCAAGAACTTAGGGGAACACGGGATATGGATGATGATTCCTAAATAAACTAAACTATTCTTTAACTCGAAAACAAAATAAATAAAGGGGAATAAGGGTTGGGTTGTCTCCCAAGAAGCGCTCCTTTAATGTCATTAGCTTGACGTTGGCAATCTGTATCATGGAACTTTGAAAAAACTTTTGATGCCTTGCTCATTTTGCTTCTTTTGATTTTGCTCCACTCTTCGTTATTTTTTCCAAACTTCGGCATTGTCCCTTTCAATATAATAGGATTTTTCAATTCCATCCAATTCAAATTCAACAACGTAGAATTCAACTTCCTCATCGGACTTAATCACAAAATCAAATTCTATACAATCAATGAATTTAGACAAATGTACATTGCTTTCATCTTCATTGATTTCTACTTCTTCATTCGGTTCCTTTGTGATCAAGTTGTCATTTATTTTAAGCTCATCTACCATCGTTGAAATTTCTTT